ATATTGTATATCTGCCCCTGTTCTCCCCTTATCCATTCACAGAATGCCTAGTATTCTGTGAATGCAACAGGAGCTGTAGTATGCTGTGTGAACAAAAGCCGCTATTTTAAAGAACACAGCAGTGACCCAGCAGTAGAATACTGCTCAGGAGAGGTAACTTTTATTTACACACATCTGAAAGTAAAAAAATAAAACTGTGCCTGGAGTTCTGTCTTAAACCTGCACAACACCAAAATGACCAGTGCTCATATCATAGGTATATATTAACTCTTGAATGGAATGCATTTGCGCACAGAAGCTATGAAATGTGATAAAATGCTACTATTAATGTCTTTATTCAACCTCAAATACTATGTAACTATGTAGCTACGAAAAAGACTCTTTAAAAAATCTGTCAGTAAGCAACATCCTCTTACGCAGGCCTACGCAACCTTCAGCACTACAGCTGTTGTGGAACTTCAAGTCCCAGAAGGCAGTGGAAGACTAACGGCCACAGGTATGACTTCCAGAGGCAGAAGCATGATGGGATAGTAGTTTCATCACAGCTGGAATGCTGAAGGTTGCCTACTCCTGCTCTAATCACTGCTGATATTGGCCAAATCCTGGACCATTCTGAGCAGCAATACTCTGACACTGCCTGGTCACACCATCACTCCCCTTCCCCCACGCACATTCCTTTTTTGTCCTATCATAACAATGGGTTGCCTCAATGGACAATAGGAATGTGCAGAAGGTAGAAAGAGACAGGCAAACTTCAACAATAAAGCTGGCCATAAACTGTGCAAATTTTGGCCGGTTTTGGTTGAACCAGCCAAAATTCACACAGCGTGTGCTCATGTTGACACCCTTTACTAAGAGGCTGTTCAAGTATTCCGACAGCGGCACACCACCCGTTGCCAGAATACAAAGGACACAGTTGGAAATGAGTCCATGCACACTATTTAGCGTGGATGGAGGAATCTTATCTTTTTTTTTTCATTCAGACCGCAGGCTGAACAAAAAAAAACGTGTATGGCCAGCTAAATGTGAAGGGCCTAGAGATTTGCCCATAATAGCAGCCCAGGATTTGGCCATAGCAGCAAGGTTTTACAGGTTGCTGAAGGGAGATGCAGGTATCTTTAAGTGTTCAACATTAAAACTTGATAACAGAAAATGTCATGTATACAGCCTGAGAAACATAGTCCTTCCCAGATACAAAGGAATGGATTTGGAGACAAGTGCAGAAATTTGTAGGCGCTACAAGACATCTGTACTTTACTAATAATGTCATACACTTAATTTACATGACAAGCTCACTTTATTAACCACCATAGGTACATATATAAAAGTTTTAAGAAATCAGATCTGTGAGAGTAATAATTTCCAACATACATCTGACTTCCTGGTCAGTAGGTCCCATAGAAGAATACTACAAATAGTCATTATGTTGCCTCCACTAGAAGCAGACACAGAATTGGGTGCATAGCAAAGTTACCACACTGCCAAATAATTCATGGTTCCCCTTTTGAACAGATGCACAATTGTCTTCACATAAAGAAGTGAATGTTATTAACAGCCATTTCACATTAATTGTTCAAAGTTTTTTTTGGGGGGCATAGTGATGTAACTAGCAGTATGTCCCATTCACACAGGGACAAATGCTGACTTCTGGGATTCCTGTGGCAAGAACTTACGGATTTTTGTGGCAGGAATCCCAGTTGTCTTCATTCAGATGTGACCACTGTACCCATTAACGTTAATGACAGGGTGATAGCCGCAACATCTGTTAGTGGCAGTCCACATGTAATCAGACATGGTGCAATTACATCCAGTTTGGGATAGACGATTGTGGCTGGATGCAGGAATGCCAGAATTCCCTAAGTGAATGCAGCCTTAGTGCATTGGAAGCACAATAATGGGTACATTTACCCTAGATGCTATAATGGGTACATTTACCCTAGTCAGCACAGAGATCACGGTAAGGGGACATGGACCAGAATAGGTAGACTAGATTATCTGGAAGCAAATCAAAATATTTAATCTACTTGTACTTTTCTAGCACAGAACTGGAGGAAACCCACCAAGTCTTATCAAAGGGTACCCAATGGATTCAATCAACCATGTTTAGCAACATTTAAGGACCAAATGAAAACAAAATAACTGCAGTTGGAATTCTATAATGCCATGGAAATTTTACTTTTATAATTAGGTCTTTAAAGTGAATCTGTACAGCCCTTTAGGGCCCATTTACACCTGTTTTGAAGGAGCATTAACGAAACACAAGTACCAAAGTGGCATGTATTTTGAAAGGCACCCCAATATACTAAACTGCTAGTTCAATGTGCCTTAGTAATCAGTAAGGGTATGCTCAAGGGAAAGTGGAAGATACTGCAAGATGACTGCTGTTAGGATGAAAAGTATCTTCCGTGCCCCTCTCGGTTTTAGTTTCACTTTGTTATTGTAGCCTAATGTTTTCAAAGCTTACCTCAGCGCGATCAACTGCTAGTTCAATGTGCCTTAGTAATCAGTAGGGGTATGCTCAAGGGAAAGTGGAATGGTAGTTGGCACGGCTTAGCTCTGAAGTCAGACATCTTCTGGTGTCTACTCTTGGCACTTTTATTGCTGAAATTGTAGTAAAGAGTCACTTTAAAAACTCAAGAGACCTTTCAATGTTTAATATATACTGCGACAAAAGAGAATTGTGAAAAAGGGAAAGAAGCAGAAATTAATACAACCAATCTAATGTTTGTAAAATACTTTTCTGACTTGCAATAATGTATTGGAGCTGTTCAAATATCACGCCTCCATGGGGTTGCAATTACCGTATTTAAAAAAAAAAAAAAGGGAGTTGAACAAAACAAACAAAAAAAAAACACGACACAAAAAAGTGAACAAAATGAATGATGTTATATTTATATTTAATGAGAATTTACAACCACATTCAGATTTTTCCACCGTCTAAACACCTGCAATTTGTCTGTAGACAACAGTGAACAAGGTGCAGCTGTAACAAATCTTCTTTCTACCGTTTGTGATTTGCTGAATGAAAGGAGACTTGGAAAACTATCGGCAGCTATAGAGGCCACTTTAGAAGGGGAATTCTCTTTATTTTAAGAAGGCAACCACAGGTACAGACATAATGTACAGTGGGCTCAATAAATTTAAGTTGCAATTGTAGATTGATAAAGAAAATACATAACTCCAGCCAATGTTTTTTTCTTCAGGATATTATGGGGGAAAGTTTTTTTTTTTACTTCTGTGTGCCTGTTGGAGATAAGTCCCCTCGATTCCGGTTTCTTTGACACACTTACAAGAAATACAGGGAGGGGCTGCCACCAGAACAGAAAAGCACAAACGGCAATAAAAAGGACAATGTCAGTAGTTCTAACTCTTCCCAGCTGTTGTTGGGCTTTAAGTGTATTTCATTTACTATTTCTGGAACTAGCCCGATTCCAGTCCTAGAATTCATGGCAGTGGTCAAAATGGTGCCCTTTGGTTACTGCTCATACTGTAAAGTTCTTATATGGACTATTTACTAAGTAATTGGTAAGCCCAACATGCACTACCTTTTCACAACCAACAGCATCTTAAATACTCAGCATTATACAAAAAAAGACACATACCTCTCCATAGACTCTAACAGGCACAGCCACACTATATATCAAAAGGAGGACACGTTCTTAAAAAATAAAACCGTATCATGCCCTTTTATAACCTCGCTGTGCAATAGGACGTGATCCATTGGAGGAAGACACACAACACTTGAGACGATCAACCATGGGGGTTGTAAACCAACATCTAAAAAGTAACACTTCAATCTTTTATATTACAAGTTTCTGCAAATATAAAAAAAAAAACACCTATATTGGAATTAAAGAAGATGGGTCATTAAGGAGGTCTTTAAAAACGGCATCATGGTACATAGCAAGCAACACCTGGAATTTGCACCGAACCCTTTTGTAAATAGTGGTTCACATTTGCTAAGGAATAGCATCAAATCAACCTTGGCAGCTTCTTTTACGAGTGGGACCTTTAATATGTTTTTGGTAAAGAATAATTCAGGTCCATCTATGCAATGGTTTCTAACAGCCTAAGCTGTACAGTTCTCCATATAGGAATCATTTTATCCTTTCTTGTGATCCTTGAAAGGCTGCTGATATGTAGATTAGCTTGATTTGTAAACCCGACAACACAGTAATTTGCTATCTGTGCCTGCTCTGCTTTAAGATGACTGCGCATCATATTCTATCTGCATCCAGAACTACCAAAAATTGCATCACTATGATTGACAAAGGAAGGAGAGCTGCTATTGGTTTAGAAGATCTGCGCTTTATTTCCCAAGTTCTTTATTCAGACCTAACAGCTATGGCATGGTAAGATGCAAACATTGCTTAGTGGAGATTTTCTGTATTATGTATTCATATACATAGTAATGTAAGGGTAACAGCAAACATAGTTCACCCACAGTGGTGAGGTGAATCTGGTCTGCAAGTACTACATAACCCATGCACCTATCACATGTTGTCATGCCCTTTTGGCTCTTGCCCCCTTCTCTTCCGGCTTCTCTGCCTGTGCATTAGCTTGCAGCAAGGGTAGAAGAGCCAAAAGTGCTAGGTAATAGACTTCACAACAGTAGAAAAGTGATGTGGATACAACTTATTCACAAATCAAACTTCTGTCTCTCTCTACTTGAGTTGGGTTACCCTTTAAATTTTGCATTGCTTTTAGCTAGTTAAAACAAATATTCAATAAATACATGTACTCATTTTTCATACCACCAGGTTACATATTTAGTAGAATGATAATATTTAGTAACCTTTACAAAGATTCAGGCAGTACCAGCAGATGTCTCGACCGAAAGAAAATTGGATTACAGCCCATAAATACTCAGTTTAGTCTTAAATGTATGGAGTCTGTGAACCTATCTCTATGGTGTCAAAGGCATTTGTTTGGATGGTGTTTAGTTTTTGTGACAAATTAAAACAATGAGGTTGTGCATCTGGTGACAAAAGAAAAAAAAATAAGGCAAGAACAAGAATATTTTTGTAAAAGGCATTCATGCACTGCTAATGTCTAATGGGAATAAAGGTCCTGAGTACTGAGGTGGACAGAGAACTCCTGTGTAATAGACATACCAGCGACCTTAAGGCTGAATCGAGACATTAACAAGTGTTCACTATCACAATCATTTGGCTTATAACAGGACAGTGTAATAGCAAAGGGTGGACCCATTTATAAAGTGAGGCAACAGGCAATAAAAAGAAGCAACACATTCTACAACATTTGTCCGTGATGTTGGTTAACAAGCGTGTTACTGTACATGTAGAACACAGCGTAATTTGCGTCATTTTAAAACTTTATGCAGATTATTTTATTGCAGAATTGCACTTCACTGGGGTGATTGAAATATCTCTGAATGCTGTTGCAGTCTTTAGTCCCTAAGCCCATGTCACCAGTAGAAGGATCTGGATAAAAAGTTTGCCGCATTGCTGAGCCAACTGCTTCCACTGTCCTGATGTGCCCCAACTCGAGACACGGCCTTGTCCTGTTCCTTCATCGGACTTTCATCCTCAGGTAGGTAGTCTGGTAAATCTGTGTTCTGCTCCACATCCACAGGAGTATCTTGAAATGGAACGAGCAGCTTTAAGTACAGATATAAGAAGAGTCAGTAGGATTATGTGAAAGTGAAACTCCAGCATTTGTTATGTTGGGATAGAGCGGGGGAAGGGTTAGTACATCTGTCAGGTTTTATTGTTGTCTATGTCCCACCATAGAAGAGACACAACAAAAAGGTATAAGTGGACATCTCTCCAACTGGGAGAAATTCCATTCTGTTCTATGCACATTTTCTGCTGCACTTTAATTTGTTATTTTATGTGCAGGATGGATCACTCTTATCTTTAAGAGTGATCCACTGTTGTGGCCTCAATTAAGACTTTATTTATGGTGTCCTGCTCACTTACCATCTACTGGATGTGGACACAGGTTTTTGGAAGTCAGTGCTGTGACCTGGGATCTTTAACCACACAGTCTTCACAGTTGGAAACACCACACAATGATGCAATATTGTTCAAAATAAAGTAATTTGCCTTTATTAATAGGTCTGGCACAACAGGCAAAATAAGCATAAGCAAACAAAAATCCTTGCTCAACAGAGTGTTTCAAAAAAAGGCACAACTTAAATGTGATGTCACTTGTTCCCAAGGAAAACAAAACAAATGGATGCACAAACCTTTCAAATGAAGCTTTAGTCCTTTTTGAGATAAATCCTCTCTCAGTCTCATAGAAAGAAGTGTTTGCAGTATCCCTTACTGCTGCTGGTCTCTCCCCTCTCCAGCCCACTTCCAACTAACTTTCAGACAACCTGGTGCTGCTCATTAAGTGCAGGTGAGGCAATGGCTGGGCCAGGCAGAAACTCTGGACTGGCTTCTCTCCCTGCTGCACTACACGCAAACTGCAGAGTGGAGCACTATTGGGGGAATATAGACACCTTCTACTACCGTGCCTTGGGTTCTATCACAGTGCCTACAAACAAAAGGCTTGAGTAGCTCTGAAGGACAACAATACTGTGGTGTTTTTATGCATACAGAGTGAACGAGCTTGTTTGGCTCCTGGCAAACCTCTAGATTACCTTTTCGAAAAAAAGTAAGCTTAATATAATGGTAGATAGGGTTACTATGCGGGATTTACTCTTGTGTTTTGCTTTATGTGTTTTATATTTAAAATCAATGAAAACAAATTAAAATGCATGCCAACATATACCTTAAAATCCACGTCAAGGCACATCATGACGCAAGTCAACATATCGTGGTGTATGACAAATATATATTTATATGAAATAATATAGGCATTATCATGTGCTTTGCATTCAAACAAAGTGCAGTAATAATGCACATCAACAAGCATTGACGTGTGTTTCTATTGAATTCAATGGAAAATGCATGGGGGGTAGCAAAGGTAAGGATATGCTCCAAGACTGGACTTTCTATTCAGGATGTTCAATATCTATGCAGCTAATAATCTTACAGCGCTTAAAAGTCTAGTCTTCAGGAACGTACACCAAAGAATGAAATGTAACAGTGGGTAAGTGTAATCCCGATCTTTGTGCGTAGCAGGTAACCCTACAATCTGCCATTTATCATACCAGTTTTGTATGCTCTGCTAAATTACATACTGTATGCGTGAAACATCAAATAATCCAAAAAAGAAAGCTGGACTGTAGATAAAACAAGACTGTAATATATGTGGCGGCTGTCATTATTTAATCATTACTGAGCATGCTAGCAAATGTGACTAGCAAAACACTAGCCTGTTTACAGCGGTGCTTCTTAATATGCTCGCAGAGTGACACATTCAGGCAGTAATAGCTGGAAGATTACAAGCAGAGCAACAGCTGGGATGCTGAAGGCAGAAGTGTGAACTATTCAGAGTGGAGAACCTTAGGGGAGGGGGGAATCACACTGCACTAAAATACATATTAAGTACACTCATTGGACTCATATCCTACCTCTTCTCCAGCTTCGCCTTTCACCACTTGCTGTGCTTTCATCACTTTGGTAGATGCTATTGCTGTGGCCAAAGCCTGGAGCAAAGTAAAACCCACAGCAATTATCATGGGAGACCACAGACATAGTACCACAATTACATAGAATACACATCTGTACATGCTGTATGAATGTGCCAAACTTTAGCAAAATGATTGAGGCTCAATTTTTTTTAAAAACAATAGTATCTAAGTATTCCCAAAATATTGTACAAGAAAAAAAAAACCTTTACATTTTATCTAATCCAAAGAACAATAAATGTATATAGTGCAGCACTCCAGTCATTGATGTGGTGGCAGTATTTTTTTGTTTCACCTAATAATCCTGCCAGTAATACACTTCCTGTCCTAGGATGACAAGACTCGCTCACTGCACTGTGTCTATAGCGGTCAGCCTTGGTTTGAGGTGTGTTCAGACTCCAAGACAATTCCCCCCTATTTTACTTCCGTTTTGAGGGGGGGGGGGGTTGTAGTCCACAAAGATATCAGTTAGCTTTGTTTCCAGCCAACAGTCACCAGAGAGCACAGGAAGTCATTGGCACACAAGATTGGGTGAACGGGTTTTTTTGCATTTATCAAACAGATAATTAAAATATATAATTGAAAGTATTTGGTATAACTAAAAGATACATTATTAAGGCGTACATATACATTTTATTCCATAAAAATGAGCTGTAGACTCTTATAAAATTTTTAAAAACCATACTTAATACTGCATAGTAGGGATGCACAGATACCATTTTTTTCGGTATCGAATACCGATATTTATACCTCGGTACTTGCCAATACTGAGTACTGGTACTTCCGGTAGCATAGAGCTGGCTTCCTGATCAATCAAAGCCGGAAGTCAGATCATTGCCCGCGGCCCGGCTTCCTGATTGGCATTGGAAGCTGGCCCCATGCTGATTGGCTGGGAAAACGGCTTTCCAGCCAATCAACATTGAGTCGGCTTTCTGGACAACCAGAAAGCCGGGAGGAGAGTCATTACACACGGCCTGGCTTCCTGATTGGCCGGGAAGTCAGGTCCATGTTGTCTCACGGCACTGCCGGTCAGACCTGAAGTTCCGGTGTCGGGATAAGTATCGGAGCATTTGGGCTAGTACGAGTGCTCGGCATCGATACCGATACTATTATCGTTATCGGTGCATCCCTACTGCATAACGAATTTAAGTGGTCACTTACCTCTGCTTTTAAATCTGACCGAATTCGAACCACACATCTCTGAACTGCCATTTGAAATGTAAAGCTAATGACGCCTTTGATTTTTAACAGGGCATCTTCACAAAGACTCCTTCGGGACTGCGGGAAACAAAAAAAATCATATATAAAAGCAATACCTATATAAAGCTCACCAATTAAAGCCAAAAAAATTTTGGGATTAGAAAGTGTTTAGGAGTAATAACTCTATCCTGCCCAAGGGAGAATTATCCTCTATTTGTACTGGTGACCACTGAAACCAAGACCGAAAGTGATTAGAAATCCAAAATTTGAAGTGGTCTCCAGAGCAACAGTAGAGGGGAAATAAGTACATAGTATTTGAGGTTGAAAATACAAAATGGTGACTTTATTTTGTAATGTTTCCCCACAGAAACCTATATGGTAACCTATATTTGTTTGCATTTTCTAATCTGCTTTTGAAAATAAAGGCAGCTGGAAAAACCACTGGCTATGGGAACCAACAATGCTACAGGACTTAGCATTTTTTTTTTCTTTTCATAAACTAGAAATATTTTTTGAGAAGCAAATTTCACACATTATAAACTTCAGAATTGTAGACAACACCCCTAAATATACTCATGCATTAACAGATTTGCTGATATGGTAACTGCACCGTTTGTTCTCAATACAGTTGTTGCCCCAACAGCAAAGCTGTTAAGTCAAGGAAATCTATGCTTGGTTAAACAGAGTACAACCTTGGCATGTATTCCCTACTTGTGACTAAAAAGGTACAATGCTTACTTGTTAAAATAATAAATCCAAGTGGATAAAATGAGCTGTAAATCATAAAGCATTGCTGAAAAGCCAGGAGTTGTTTGCTCCATATGATTAGAAAAGCATTTCCCCTTGGTTAAGCTTTGATTGACTGAAGTGCTTATTGCTAAGCAGTTAGCGTTTATTTCTGTTTATCAGACACCTTGCATGCATGCTGACGGAACGCATCAAAGCAGATGTTGCAACCCTTCAGCAAATCGGCACATCACGAGCTCTGTGCACGCCATTCACTCTTGTTACTTTGAAGCCAGACAATCCACTTTCTTTTAAAAGCACTCTAACCGTGAAGATTTTCCTTGCTTCATTATGTCTAGTGCTGAAGAATGTATGGACTGAATTACATTTTAGATTAGGCCACCATATAATTTGTGACTTTTTCCCTTTTCTATATTGTCATACTTAGACTGTTCAGAGTGATGTCATGCAAATTCTTTCCTAAAAAGCCTGTAAAAGCACTGTATTGTGAGGATTGATGCAATAAGAAATCCATAAGCACTCCCCTACCCAGCAATGTCCCAAGTGATAGCTGTGGCATGAAGGGATGCCTAGAAATTGTACTGTGGGATGTGGGGAGGGGGCATGTCTATTCTTCACAACCTGGTAGTAAAATGTTTGGAGAGGACTCAGAGCACTACAGCAGTAACACACAATAAAACTAAAGATACATGCAAACATACTTCATTATAGTACATTCCAGGACACAGAATGTAGGGTTATGCTGCCCCAGGGACCTGATGCCAACCAACCACCTGCTTCCAGGACATTGTCACATTGTCATTCTCTATGCCCTGCCCCTCGCCATCCCATAGAGGTCTCTCTCTACTGCGCTGTTGGAGTCTACATGCATGAGTGCACTCCACAGCTGGCTGAGTGGATGGAGGCACCATACCATAGGCAATCATGGATCCAATAGAACTGAACTGTATATAATCTGTGAACATTAACGCATTGGACTTTGGAAGAAGTAATGGAAGATGCCTGTAGTCTTTTGAAATCTAGGGAAGGTACCTAGATGTAATTATATACTCAGCAACATACACCTTTAGCTGGTACAAATCCATCAAAGGTGCCTAAGATCCCCTGCACTATAGTCATAGGTGACGTCGCTCTTTATGCAATGTGATATTATCTTCTAAGTCCCTCTGGGAATTTGATTTGCCTTGTATATGTGCAACATCATATTGCGAATTCTTTCCATAGGTTTTGAAGAAGTAGATCTAGTTCTATAAATAGCGTAAAAATGAAAAAAAAAAATCTCAACTACTAATTACAAAGCATATTCTGGAAAGGAATCTGTTCTCAGACCCTAGAAGCTATGTGGTAGAAAACAGATTTGGTATACATATGGATGATGTAACATACACCTTTGAAATGTATTGCAATATTATCTTTTAATGAAAACTTGTTTTATTATAATTATGATGAAAAAAATGAATATTTTTTTATAGAAAATGCTGAACACCTTAAAAATCCCATCTGTGTGTAATGTTACCATTGTATAGTATTAGGGGCGTGTGGTGTAGATATTTAGAAGGATAGATAGCTATGCTATAAGTATTTACAATGACAATTTTGCATACAATCTCAGAAAGTATTGCTGATGCAATACTGTATGCTCCCCCAGATGTCCCTCAAAAATATGCACCCTCAGTTATTCTGACCCTCAAATATGTGATGCAACTTTTATGCTCATAAACAGGCCCAGTTACACTAATGCTCATGTGAGCCCCCCACATTACATGCCATTGCTCTTCTTCTAAGAATCAATCTGGCAAAGCAGTGCTAATTTAGTGATGCTTTCTTTCCAGCAGCTTATCAGACTGTTTGCCACTTCCTGACTCCATATGAATCTTAGCACACACCTTTCCAGGCACAACACTTACACAAGCTGTGCTACTCCTATGGTCACAGCTGCATTTATCGAACATTCAGTAGCAGCAACCAATACTTCCTGAACAGCGTGTGAGCAGGTAAAGTCTTTCTAGCTTCTTTTAAAGCTGGCTAATTCCACTTGCAGTGTGTTGAACCAAGCTAGCCTTCTTGTCCAAGACTAAGCCCAATGTGGGTTGAAGCAGTGGCCAATAGGACATAGATAATGTGCTGTAAATCAAATCTTGGGGAAGCAGAACTGGGTGCAAAAACTATCACTGTCTAAAGTTAGGAAGGATGGGAGATATGTAAATCAATTAAAGTATTAGGCAGTGGGTAGGGTACCAGATATAAAGAACTGCAGAAACAGTGAAAGATGCAATATACAATTGCATGACTATGCTGTAAATATGTGCAAAGATATTGTAGTAAAGATTGTTGTACCTGCAAGATCTGTCCTCAATATGCAAATTCTGCAAGTTCTCAATGTGCAAATGAGCTCTCTGACAAACAGAATACTGAATTAGCAGTACATGAATAATGGCAACTCACTGGGGCAAAGAAGGAAGAAATGTATTTTCTCATCGGCGCTGCAGATCACATACTGGCTATAAGCACTGCCACTATTCTAGTGGCTGTGGGTGAGATACAGATCTGTAGGGAACCAAGGGATCCAGGATTTCATTTTTTGTACAACTGCATTTATGACCATCAGCCAGAGGATAATGGGAAGATGCACTGGAATTCTGCACGGTTAACTTTCTCTACATCTCAAGGAATATTAGAACCACAAGGACTCCTGAGACACAAAAAGTGTTGTCACACAGAGAGGCCTGTTTTTACTGGGATTTTAAGAGAACGGTTTAGATTTCCATATCCATAGCCCCTTCCTAAAGGACAAATTCCAGCGAAAAACACGAAAATGTTGTAATGAAAAGGATTTGGGAGATCCAGAATGTTTTTAAGTATCATTTGTGTATTCACTGTGCTCCACTGCTAAGTCAAGCTCAACAGTTTCTAGTAGCCTTATCTTCTGAATGGCTCTGCTTGTGAAAAAGGCAAGCTAAGTATTCCCTGGTCTCAAATACTGCCCTTTGTTTGAGCTCACTTCAATGTCACCAACACAATATACTGTACTATGAAAGAGCAGTTGCCTGGCACAGAATCATTTAGAAACAGTTTGCAATGCTTGACCCGAGAGTCTAGTGGCAAGGGAATATATAAAATTGGGTTGGAATGTGCAATTAGATATTTAGAAGTATATGTAAGTTATAGAACAGTTCCCAGGATAGAGCTAGCAATTCACTGATCGTACTTTTTGCCTGAAACCTCTGCTGGAAAGCACAATAAAAACACTATATTAGAGATCAAATACTTAACAGCTCAATATTTACCGTATCTTCAAGGCCATCAATATGTAAGACCACAGTTTTGGCACGTTTATTTGTGGCTCCAAGAAAGAACTGAGCTTTCCGCCTCCGTGAGTTCATCTCATTCATACAATCGCCATCTGCTGTGCTGGATGACTGCAGAAGGTCATAGACTTCAGTGGCAAGGAGCTGTGTGTCCCCTGGTGTGGTAGTCCTGTACCAAGGTAAAGATGATCACAAAGACAAGTTCAAGTGCCTGAATAAACATTTACACTGTACACATAAAGGTTACGATCAGCTTTAGTTTCTTACGTACGGCCTTCGCCGCAAATGTCAGAGTGAGAGCAATAATTCTAGAGCCATTAATCACTGATAACACTAAACTGATGAGCGGTAAAAGCATTTTAATTGTCGCGTATGGGCGTTTTTTGCGATTTTGCGGGCGCACGCAATTTTAAGGCTTGACATGTTTGGTGTCTATTTACCAGACGTGACCCCGATTTTTATGTTGTACTAAAAATATGGGTGAGAATAAATGTTTTATAACATAGGGAAACTTTTTTTTTTTACATTTATGGTACTTTTTTCATTATATAGTTTAAAAAAATAACCCCCTGTGGGGTCACAAAACAAAGCTCTATCTGTCCCCAAAATTTTTTAACATATATTGCAAGGCTATAGTCAGATCATGCTGACTGGTGAAATTTTTGACTGACTGGTGAGACACCGCCAAATTTTTCAAGCCCTGCATATGTGAAACCCATTTACAAAGAAAAAAAAAATTCTGGTCAGGATTCAATGAAGGAGAGCACATCAGCAGTCACTTTACTGCATATATAAACCAAATTACATAAAACTGGTCTAAGCTTTAACACATTGATGCAAATTGTTTAGAATACACAGTACGGTAGCAAACAAAATCACCCAGCTAGGGTTCACATTTACTTTGACATCCAGCTTAGTTCTGTTCCACTTTATCAGCTTTATCTGGAAATACTATGTGAAATGAAACACCCTTTTAAACAACTATATTTAATAGCTAATAGGAAATACTGTCAAGAGACTGTGGGGGGGAATTCATCAAAACTGGAGCAGACAGAAACTGGAGCAGTTGCCCATCTTCAGTTTGCACAGAGATTTGAAAATGAGATATAGAGGCTGATTGTTTGCGGTGCAAATCTGCTCCAGTTTTGATAGCTTCCCCCCCTATACATTTTAAACTGCACATTCAAAACACAAGCTTTTTTTAGTGTATACAGCTTTGCCAAGCAGCTTGCAAATATAATTTCTTACCTCTGCCTTTTCTTGCTCCATGCTTCCAGAACTGTCATCACATACTTGTGAAAGGCAACAGCCCTTTTTACATTTAACTTCAGTGTAAACATCATGTCTGCAAATTGGCACTGAGAACAAGCGAGGTACTGTGGCTCTCAAACTGCAGTCCGTGGACCACCAGGGGCCTGCAGATACCCACCAGCTGATCTGTGGTGCCACAGCTTTAAACTATGCCCTATAAACTAAGTGTCAGTGAGCAGTGTCAATTCTCGGATATACTTATAACTGCTGTGGTGCAATATGTGTGACCAAATACTAGAAGTGACAGTGGCATGCTATAACTAAATATCAGGCAGAATCTGGCACCTTATACATCATATAAAGACACCTGTAAGCTCAAGAGAAAACAGCCAAACGCATAGCACCATACAATGCAGTAACCTGGTCACAGAGGTAACAGTAGATCAGTACGACTTCTGAATGAATTAGCACCTGTGTGTTTCAGAGACCCGAGTGCAATATAGGTCAGAGAACAGAGTGCAATATAAATCGATTCAATGTTTTAAATAGGTAGTTTCTGATAAGAGTGTATTTTCAAATAATACAGCATGTGGCTTTTTAAAAATTTGAATAGATGATCAATCGCTTGTACATAGGTTAATCACAATCAATGAATGTATGGCCACCATAATGGAGCCCTGTATAGCACTAAAATCCGACAGAGGTTCCAATCCTCTACCACTCTAGATAAATAAAAGAGTTTTGGCTAAACATAAAACTAAGCATTGGCTCGCTTGAATAAAAGGCCAACAATTTACCACTAATATAGACTTCAACATGGGGAAAAAAAGCTCCACTGATACACTAGAGCAGATAGGCTCCTTGTCCTAACAAATAACATTCGTAGCTTTAAGGGACAGCTGATAATTAAACTTGTATTAATCGCTCCTAATCACTTTAAGTGAATACGAATTGGAAAGAACAGATTAGTGCAATGGATTTTCCTCAGCCTGTTAAAGGCAGATCTAGCAAAAGCGGGTGTTCTATATCTTCATGAGCTGAATTATTTAACACGTAGATTATCGTAAACTATAGAGAAGAAAATATAATTAAAAAAAAAAGTTTGGCCTTTGCAATGTAAAACAAAGCTGTTACCAGGGGGAAGAGCCTTCTTTACAGGCCATAAAATTCAATTATTTAACAACAGTTGAAGCTGCTAGTTTTAATGTAGTTCATATGGAGACATTAAAATGTGTGAAGCATGCATAAATACCAGCATTGACAAAGTGCTCTGCTCTTGATTATGCTCAGCATCGGATGCACTCAGTGTTATCTCTGTATGGAACTGTGGAAGGTGTCACTTCTGCTCTTCGGAAAAGTCAAGTAAATATGTCTTTAAGCTTGACTTGAAGTCAGACTTGGCATTTTATGTTTCTGCTGACAAAGAGTTCCCAAGTTGACATAACATAAATGTCTTTAAAGTTTAGTTTCTTTTTGGAAACCAGATTAGCCCTTCACTGCCGGGGGCCTGCACAAAGATTTCTCCCATCCAAGCTGAGTGCAGTCAAGCAAGCAATGAGGGTTGAAGGAGTTAATGTTTGGAATGTCTTGCTGCAGGAAAGATGCAAACATCAGACATTGTTCTGATTTGTTCCACAACTCGAAATTCAATGAGGCAGATTTTATTAAAATGAGTGGTAATTGTGAGTTCAATTATGAGGAGAAGGAGGCATATTTAACCTAGGCAAGCATTTGCTAATCTACTCTTTAACCTTCCCTATGTTGTCATAGCCTTGTGTACTGCTCGTGACATTTTATGAATGTCTTATTTATTCTGGGATGTGGATTTATCACCCAGATTTCGATGTATCTGGCATTTGTATATGCAGAAGCCAAACCGTATAATCCCAAAGGTCATGGATATTGCTATTTGTTGGCATGTTTGCACTTTAAAAGGCAGTTCACTAAGCTATGAAGGCACGTGTACTTTGCCATAATGACTGTTATTGTCAAACATGTGACTGCTATTTACAGCTTGCTGAAAACAGTGGTTTTTACAAAGGACTGTTACAGTTTATCAAAATGAGTCCGATATCTACTTTGCTGTATACAATCTACACAATTTTTTTTTTAGTCCTTTCCCCCTCCGTTTTAGATTATAGGCCCTCCTTACCATCTTGTCTTGATTTGTATTGTGATTGTATTGTCTTCCTTATATTGTAAAGCGCTGCGCAAAGTGTTGGCGCTATATAAATCCTGTATAATAATAATAATAATAATAATAATAATAATAATGTCTCCAAATGGGGAACCAACTTTGTACAAAAAAAGCTTTGCCATGAGGAAAGAATAGGATCAGCTCTTGCTTTTCAAGGTCAGGAGCCCTGACATCACTTTATCCATACTTGCTCCAAGTCACTGACTGACAAAGTAATGAAGACACTTAAAGCTCGGTATACATAGTTATATTTTCTTCGTCCAGCCCACAGAAAATATAACAGATTCCTCCATCAATGCTAACAAGTGTGGATCGAGGAATCCCCTTGCTTTTTTTGCATTGTATTCCGACAGCGGCCGCTTCAGTCTTGGCTGACTGCGGCCGGTGGATGGTGATGTGACCGGAGGCAAACGTAGTACATAGACGGGGCGATACCATGTTGGGTTAACAGACAGTGTGGCCTCTTGTTTGTTGTTAAAGCGTGATGAAAATGTTTGCTTGTGAGTACACATATCCCTTGTTTTATTTATTTTAATAAACGATTTTTACACACGGATGTGGCCCTCTGTTCCCTTTTGTTTTTTATGTTACATAGTTAGTCAGGTTGAAAAAAGACACAAGTCTATCGAGTTCAACCTATATGGGGGAAGCCCCAGAGCCTTGGATGAGCAGCCCCTCAAGTCTGTGTAAAAAAACTGTGATAAACACTGTGAAGAGTTAAAGAAAACTGTTAGTCTGGTTAAGGTCTTTATTGATAAACTGCTGACAAACTTGTCTCAGTTTCTAAAGCTAGAAGGGCTGCTAATATGCAAGTCAACTAATCTCTTACGGCTTGTTCACATCATATACAGTGCGTTCCAGGAAGGATAGCTGCTGCAACGCACTGTATCACATAGTAAACTCCCCCTTGCATTCTGGGGCGCCCGCCCAGAACTCGTGGCATATCAGTGTCTTCTTTGCGGTCCAGGGCGATTGGGAGAAATGTTGCATGCACTATTTTTTCCGATTGCACTGGACCAGAATGCAGGCATTGATATGCCACACATTTTGGTGCAGGTGGGGGGGCATGGCTGTGGTCCTATTGACTTCAATGCATCACACCCCCTCCCGCCCCAGAACGCAAGGGGGCTTTTACTATTCGATACAGTGCGTTCCAGCAGCTAACTGCGCTGAAATGCACTGTATATGGTGTGAACAAGCCCTTATGACAGACACCTACAATTAGTGTAGTCTGTGCTTGCCTTAAAGCATAAAATGCTGTAGTTGCACATTTTTAAATTGCATGATTACAGCGCAACTCTTTCTCAAACCTTAACTTTCTGTATAAATGACAATTTTAGTGCACAAAAAGACAATATATTATCCTTTGTTTGTAAAATATAAAATATGAGGTTATGCAGAGTAAACAGATACCCAACAAGCCTAAAAATGGTGTGCGCTCACGAGATGGCAACAATCCCAAATTGTCCATAGGCAGTGCTTTAAGAGCCTGTACAGGTCATCAGTTAACCATGAATATTGGCCCTAGAATTATTGTTCTCACTGTGGCGCATGCAATACCTAACACGTGTAGAGCGATCATTATTTTCATATGTAGGTGCACCCGAAGCGTTTACATTAGTAAGCGTGTGTACGTGGGGGACTATCACATGGGGGAGGGCTTACAAGCCCTCTATGTGATAGTATATTAGTTGTGACAGGTTCTCTTTAAAAGTGACATTAGGGGTCTATTGGACCCCTAGTGTCCCCTTTCAACTTCAAAGAAGCTATTTAAGTGCAGATCGTACTTGAATAGCTGCTTTCCCGGCTTCTCTAGCTGGAGAACGGCAGCTGAGGAACCAGAAGTGATGCAAACAGCATTGCTTCTGACTACATTTAGCGGGGAGATTGGCGAGGTCTCTCTCGCCTCTACCTGCCAACACCCATGATGTCAGTCCTGGGTCCGCAGGAAGGGCAACGGAGCCCGGGAAGCAAGGCTGGGGTGTCGGGCGGGGAGGGGCACACTTTACTGGCCCTTGAAAGGGGTCTTAGCTTCAAGTGTTAAGCCGACCGTTGACTTTACACAGCTAAACAGAGTCCCGGCGGCTATAGCTTCCTGGGAGTATGTTGAAAGGGGCCTGCTGCCAGGGACTTACAGCATACACTGCTGGCAGCAAAAGGGTTAGTTTAAAGAGGTAACATGCAAAATCCTCTTTTTAGGTCTAGTTCTTGTTTTATTTTTTAATAACTTTCATAGACAAAACTATAAATAGTTCAATGCTCCAGCATTCCTAATTGCTGCTAACTTTTTTGGGCTAGTGTAATCGAGACAATCACAATAGCAAGACAAAAATAACAACAATAGTGCATCACTATTACCCCAACAGGATACCACACCTCTCCCCCCTCTGACTTCTTAACTCCACAGCTTTATTAGCCATGAATTCCATCTTATCCTGTCATTTCTAACTTCTTTTGCGCCAAGCATTTTGGATGATTCAACCAGTACCCCCACTGTATCAAAAATCTATTATGTCTGAAATTTTTAAAAGGGATGTTATTGCAGCAATGGTTATTAAACTCAGAATCTCCATTAATTTCAGAACGTTGGATGATTTCCAATCATGCAAAATGTTTGCTTTACTTATAATGCAAATATGCATACTAATTGGCTGTTCTGACACAGGAAATTGATCTATACCCAGATTTAATACAGCTAGCTCAACGGATGCATTCATCAGATGCGTTAACAATTCTGACATAAGTAATAATGCCGTAGACAAGAGAATTTAATATTCTAGCAATACCACCATACATGCATTCAATTTGTGCACACCTCTGCCAGCATTGCGGTAACTGGCTGATAGGAACTTAGAAAGCTTATAAAGGGTAAGGTACCACTGAAGAAGGGTCTTTTGAATGTTTCCAGTCATTTATACATCTAGATTACGGGTAAAGGCTAGAATTAGCAATAAGCCTTTGATGGTCTGTAAACTCTAAAACTAGAATTCTAATCGATTTCCTCAATGGCTGAGTCTTCACAGAGACAGTTTTTACTTTTAGAGCGCAATATACAGTGAGGGGAATTTATCAAAACTGGAGCAGACAAAATCTGGAGTAGTTGCCCATGGCAACCAATCAGCTTCCCTCTTAAGTTTGTTCAGTTAAGATTTGAAAATAAAAGAGAGAAGCTGATTGGTTGCAGTGCACAGCTGCTCCAGATTTTGTCTGCTCCAGTTTTGATAAATCCCCCTCACTACCTTTACATACCTCAGAAGAGTCAAGAGAAAAAGAAATGATATTGCTGGTTTCAAAGCTCATCATCTACTGCTTGTTAGGAATATGTAATACTTTATCCCTTTGCTGCCCACACCAAAAAGATGAGACCAAGGAGAATAAAATAGTGGCAGTTGCAATTTTGTTATGTTGCATGGTATGAGCACAATGGTTTGTCAAATCCAGATTTGTAGTAAAAGAAAATGCTAAAGTTAATTTGGTGCACACAATATTTTACCCATGTTTTTGGTAAATTATAAAAGATGACGTTTCGTGGTGTAAATAGATGCCAAAAATGTCAAGCCTTAAATCTGTGCGCTACTGTGAAAGTACAAACTATGGTACCCTAAAATAGGCAGCTTTTTAAAACCCGTAACCAGCCATCAATTTAGAGTTAACAGTAAGTAAAATTGCTCTCACTCTCTCATGAATGGTGATACCCCAACATGTGTGACGCACCAGAGCGCGTGTTTATGATGTGACGTGCATGTACAGGGGGAGGCCAATTGTGGGGGGTGGAGACTTTATTCATTTTATTTGACTTTAATTTTTAGCTCTTTTTTCTTTTCTACTAAACTTTCTTGCGATCACATAGGGGGCTGACAAGCACCTCCACAGGCTGCAAAAGTAGAAGTGATTCACTTTTAACAGAAAGCCAACAGACTACAGAAGAAACATAAAAAAAAATCTCCCAACTGCTATAGGAGTCTGTTTACAGATGCCTACCGTCGTCAACATAAGGGATAAATGTCCATAGTGTCAACACAGGTGCACTTTAAAGTGATATTAAAGTCAAAAGGATTTTAAGGTATTTCAAATGCTGAATTAATCTCTTACAATGGATGCTGCTCCTTAATGTTTAAAAGTTTTAGTTTCCAGCAGAATCAGTTGGTCCCTGGAGCACTGGTCCCGATATCCTGTTTTAGAGTGACTCCCTTGCTTGTGCTAGTAAGCTGTGTGCGTCCCCACAAACACACAAGTTCCAGTGTGTCAGAAGAACACTTCGTAAGGCGCATAACAGATACAATTTTGCGGTTAGCGTGACATTTTTGTCCTTGTAACAAAAAATTGTCCCAAACACATTCAAAAATTCCCCTCATGTGCTTTGCCTGTGTGCATAAACCCCAAACATATGAAGGCTTTTGTGGCAGTAGGTTAACTTCACTTATATCCGAGGAGGAAACATGATTCAGGTATCATTGTTTAAGCGAATCTAAAAACACAATTAACAATAAAGCACTAGTTTGTGAGGAAGAATGGACACTGGCTCTTGGTAGTATGTAGTTTGCTTTCCATCTAGTGGTTAGCCAAAACACTGCAGCAAAGATTACCAGACACCCAACATTCTCTACACAGGGCAAATGTTTATAACAACTTACAAAGATGTTTTCAACATAATAGGTGCAAGAAGGAATAATGGGACTTTTATCTTTTTTTTTTTGTGTGCAAATAATACCAAATATTGTTCCACAGAGGTTTTACAAAGCAGAAGAATTAAAAAAAGAATATTCCCCCTTCTATATGGCAAGATATAATCTGTGGTTTCTAACTTACTTTTGAATGACATTCTGCAAACTCAGCATCATCCCCAACTCGCATCTCATTTTCTCCCTGTTGGCACGGCATTCTGCTAAATATCGGAGAGCCTGAAAGAAAGAAAAATCTCTATAGGACATGCACAGAATTCAGATATAGTTTATTTAGCACCACCAGGGTTAATTAAAAGACAATGGGAAGATGTTCAGAATCATCTACCCTTAGCTTTACTTGTTAAGGTAAAAAAACGGAAAAAAAAAAAACTGCAATGTCAGCAGGTCATTTGTAAATGTCTCTTAGAGGTCACAATAAAACCCCCCACAAACAATGAAAACAAACAAAATACAATATATTACCAAAAGTATTGGGAAAATCCTCCAAATCATTGGATTCAGGTGTTCCGTGAAATTTCCTTGCTACTAAATATTCCACTGTCACCTGTTAGTGGTATTATAACAAAGTGGAAGCAACTGGGAACAGCAGCAACCCAGCCACGTAGAATGACAGAGCGGGGTCAGCAATCAACCCGATAGAACACCTTTCGGATGAATTAGAGCGGAGACTGCGAGCCAGGCCTTCTCCTCCAACATCAGTACCTGACCTCACAAATGGTCAAACATTCCCATAGACACACTCCTAAACCTTGTGGACGCCTTCCCAGAAGAGTTGAAGCTGTTATAGCGGCAAAGGGTGGGCCAACTCAATATTGAACCCTGCGGACTAAGACTGGGATGCCAATAAAGTTCATGTGCGTGTAAAGGCAGGCGTCCCAATTACTTTTGGTAATATAGTGCAGCTGCCTGTACTCTGCACAATTTGTACTAGAATCACAACCAATCAGAGCACTGATGAAAACAATGTAGTGGCCAATATTTATTATTCACTCCCCAACAACAAGCATACCATTAGCTTCAACAAAATTATAGGAAAGCAAGAAGTTGTACACCGATGAAGTCCGATCACATCCTCCTCCCTCCCTATGCCCCCCTTCCTTTCTATTTCCCCCAACTTTCATGCCATTATGGTCCTGATTGTTAGCAGATCAATACAAATTGGATAGACAGATATTTATACTGTCTGCTCTTATCAACATCCTCTTTTAGATGTTTTTATTGGTGGTTGATTTTTAACCTTTGTATTCATATTAAAGTGCCTCAATAAAATTTTAGGGTGTTTGGAGGTTTATTTTGTTGCTGAAGGGGGATATTTTAAGGTGCTATTAATGTTTTGGGATATGTACTAACTACAAGTTTATATCAGTTTGTGTATTGTAATACCGTAGCTTGAGGTTTATATGGTGTGTATCCTTTTGCGTAAGAGAGCTTTTCCTACCTGCTCCCCCTATGTCTGTAAACAAGCGCGTATTGGGTAAAACGTTAGCTGTTCCTGGATAGTTGGCAAAGGCAGCTGTCTCTACAATGAGACAAAAGTTTGATAGGGTTATTCACAAAAGGGTGAAGAGTTTGGAGAAGGCAGGAGAAGTGAACATTCTAGTACAACATAGCTGATTTGGAAATATTCTTCAATTTAGCTCACTGTCCAGTTCAGCTATGTTGTCCTAGATTGTTCACTTCTTCTGCCTTCTCCAAACTCTTCACCCTTTTCTGAATAACCCTGTGAATGTAAAGTGCTACAGATGAAAAAAACTAAATACAGCAACAGCAATAGCTACCACTGTTGAATAGAAAACCCATTACTTAGACATTAATCTGGTTAGAAATGCATTTTACATCAAAAACAGATATTAGTTCTCTCTGCCATGTTTTATGATTGGAGATACAGGAAAATAACAATGTAACTGCACTTACCAGAAGAGCAGAGTAAACCACTGGAGGATTGGGATGGTCAAGGAATAAGATGAGGCCTGGGAGACATCCTTGATCCTGTACGATGGCTCGCCGGTTTAAAGGATCTGAAGCCAAGTCCCGCAGCTGATTAACAACTGACAGTGCATCCGGCTCTCCGCTCATTTTTCACAACAATTTATTTTATGCCATACGCAAAAGAATAGCTAAGGTTGGAAGAAAGTTCAATATTAGGCTCTCTCAACTTATGCTAAGACAGAACACTATGCAGAGTTAAACAATAACATAGATCTATCGCTAAA